CTAGAAGCTATAGGCCAATTTCACAGTGATCTACAAGGCCTTTGAAAAACTTCTTAGGTTTATAGATAAACAAGAAAAGATTATGACAAAGGAGCAAGCTGGGTGTGTCAGAGGTAGAAGCTGCGGTGAACAAGTGTTGTCACCAACCACGCATATAGAAAATGGGTTTCAAAACATGCTAAAATCAGGGCCTTCCTTGATTTATCATCTGCTTATGATACGGTGTAGAAAAATGGCCTGCTCCCAAAGTTGACGAGAGTCCTGAAGTATAAAACAACAATTAGATTAATTGAGAGGATATTATCTGACAGAAATTTCAAAGTGGAATTTAATGGTGAAATAGGCAAGAAAAAAGTGATACAAAATGATCTGCCACAGGGCTCAGTTTTATCCACTCTTCTCTTCAATGTGTATACAGCAGACATTGTCAATACCACATCTAGGAAATTTACCTATGCAGATGACGTAGGCTTAATTTCAAGAGGAACAACTATATCCGAAGTAGAAAGTACTCTTGGCAGGCAAAGATATTTCAAAACTTCAAAAATATTTCAAAAACTGACACCTTACCTTAAACGCCAGAAAACCGACAGCAATCGCCTTTCACCTCAATAACCTCGAGGCCAGTACTAAACTACAAATTATGGTGAACGGAACTCGCATTCCTAATGACGATTTTCCTAGATACCTGGGGGTAAAACTAGATAGAACTCTGACTTTCAAACAACACTTAGAAGCCCTTAAAGACAAACTAAAAACAAGGAACAATATAATATCTAAACTGGCAGGAACCAGGAGCAAGTTGGGGATGTAAAGCAAACACACTACGGACCTCAGCTCTGGTTCTAGTCTATAGTGCAGCCGAGTATGGGGCTCCCATATGGTCAAGAAATGCGCACTGTAAGAAAATCGACACAAAAATGAACCATACAATGAGGATAATTTTAGGCACTGTAAAAAACACACATACTCTATGGCTACCGCCTACCGGTCTAAACGCACATTGTACTGCCAAACGTAAGAAGGCAAGCAGCAACCTGATCCCTTCTGCTTGATAAAAGGAAACCCTAACCTACGGACTCATGTAGATATTTGTAATCACCCAACTAAAATACTGAAATTAAGAAACCCGGTTTGGGGATCTCTTGATACTGAATCGGACTTGAAGAATCAATGGTTAGTGCAGTGGACAGGAACTTCAGTAAAACACCCAGTACTCATCAAAGACCCCATTAAGAAACTTCCTGGTTTCGAACTTCCACGCTTGATCTGGACAACAACTAATAGAATTAATACTGAGCAGAGTAGATGCAATTACCAGCTCCATAAGTGGGGATGACTGAGTCTCCGTTTTGTGACTGAGGTGAACTTCAAACGGTAAGACACGTCGTAGAATCCTGCCCTCAGAGGAATTATGCTGAAGGGATGCTTGGAATTCACCAAGGAGGTAGTGATGCGACTGAATGGTTAATCAATTAGGATGTCCGACTTTAAGTTACCATTTTTAGTTACCAAAAACTTTTCTGTATTTATTTGCTTACATACCTTTACTTATTTATTCACCTTTGTTTTTACATGTCGTTTGATTATTTATTTATTTATTTATTGTTATGCCGATGCCATAATGTTAATATAATATAACATATTTAAACCACTACGAGCGCTAGTAATTCTCGCCTCTCAGCTGTTTCAGATTAAATTACCGACAACCACTGACGGAACACGTAGCTATCATGCTATCAGTGGCCACAAATGCATATGCTCAAAAGGCAAATGCGGGGGGTCGCAATGGGGACCGAGAGTTGACTACGTCATCTGTATAAAATATCGACTAAAAGCCGTTGCTGTCCGTCGGAGCCGGATATGTATGAACAGCATCCCTGTGCGCCAGCCTACAGTAGCAAGAAACATGCGCAACTTGACATTTTGAACAGAGCATGACAAATTTTGTCATGGAACAGAGTATCCCTCCCTCCTATTTAATTTAAAGTTGTACATTTTTATGTTGACTCTTTAATATGATGGATTTAAGTGTTTTATTTTTTTATCATGTTCCAAAATAAAAATTAATTCTAAACGTGCATAAAAAATATTCATAATATTTTATACATTTTTCATTATTCATCTGTTGCTTACTAACTTTTTTTTAATTCTGCCCCTTGTAACTTATCCTTTGTTGATGAAGTTGGAATTGGTTTGTGTATAATAGTTGGTATGCTGTTCCTAATTTAAAAGAGAACATAAAAGTGAAAAATATTATTTACTTAACCCATTACTATACGCATATTATCCTTAATACCCAAAGTTATATAACTCAAAAATAATTTTGATTTAGATATTTAGATAGATAGGTACATCAAAATTCTCAAAAAAAAAAAAACGGTGAATAATTAAAAGTGAAAAAAGGGTGTTACTATTTGAAAAACAGGAGTTTGTATTGTCACAGGATCATCCTTAGGTGGTACAAAAATTCTCAAGTATTCGAAAATATGGTCTCTATGTGTATTTAAAAGTACCAAAAATCAGTATTTGAATTTTTGTTAAAAAAATCAGCCTGTATATAGGGGCTGATTAAATATGTTATAAATACCCTCCATGACTCAAGATATATTTGGTATAACTTTTATTTATAATGGTCAAATAATTTTTGAGTCCTTAGCTAACAAACAGATAAAAATCCATTTCATTATGACAATATACATTATAGGTACATGGATATAAGAATAAGATAGTGTATATTAAAAAAAAAAAAAATAAAGTGCTACATAATATCTATAACATAAAATTACGTTTCTATGTATTTACTACAATTAATATTGTTATTATTTTTAAATATATTATACTATATTATATTATATTATAATATTATTTAACAATAACATAACAGAATTGTTTTTCTTGTTTTATCAATGTTATGAATGGGTTTAAAATTTAAATGTAAATAATACAATTAAATATTTCTAAATGCAATCTAGTACTATAAAATTCATAAACAAAGATTTGACAATTTTGTTGGACTAGAGCTCAAATTTGATAACCATTTATACAAAGGATAACCAAAATGTTAAATAAAAATAAAATGTACATATTTAATACAATAATAACATAACACACCAGATAAAAAAATAATAATATTAATTAATTATACTAAATAAATCATATTTTATAACCAGGGCTCGGGATTTAAAGCATTTGCTTATTTTTATAGATTGACTTAAAATGTAGCAGAGTGCTATAGAAGTGCATGTCATGTTACAACACATTCAATTATGAAATTTGAGTGCTTTTTTTTGCTTTTTTCAGTGATTTTTCAAAAAAATGCTTATTTCAAGTTTTTCTGATAATTATTGCTTTTTTGACCAGTTTTTAATACTTTTTTATGATTTTCTACTACAAAGTTGTTTTTGATAGAATTAAAATTAAAAATAATTTAAATAAAAATATTTATTAAAAAATTAATTTTTTTTTCAACTATTTGTAAATACTGTTTACATTTTATTTTTCAGATAATCCATAAAATCATCAGTCCTGAAAATGAAGTTTAATTTTTTTTATAATATAAAAATAAAGTTTTAATTTTAATTTTATTGTTTTATTTTTAATAAATATTTTTGCTTAAATTTAAGTTTTTTAAATGCTTATTTGAGTGCTTATAATGATGTTTTTAAGTGCTTATTTTAATGATTTTAAGTGCTTTAAGTCCCGAGCCCTGTTTATAACTATCAAAATATTAACATCAGTTGTTAATATTATATATAATTAAAAACATGTATACTGAAAAATAATGAAAAAAACGTTCAACCTATGTCAATTAGACATAAATGCAAGATGTACGAGGCTTGTCCCAAAAGTAAGGTCTCCATTAACAAAAAAAATCGAAAATTTTTAATAAAGCACTTTTTCGATTTTTTATATTAATGGAGACCTTACTTTTGGGACAAGCCTCGTAACATGTTCTCTCAAATTTTTTTATAAACTATCATATTTCATATTTATACAATCACAGTCTTCATCCATTTTTTGTGAGCCGTATTCAGACCTAGGATACATTAGTCAGAAACTTGTGTTTCCGATGTTTCTGATTTCCCATTATAAGCGTTAAGAGGACGTTACAAGGAAATTTGTGGTTTACGTCTTACAAGTGCGTTACATAGAAAATTTTAAATGAGTATTTTAGGATGTATAAACAATTTACAATTTTAAAATACTCAAGAAACATCCTTTTAACATATATTTTTGTTTCTGACAAAGACAATTGTATCCTAGATCTGGACGCGGCTTAAGTGATACAAAACTCCAAACCCCTTAATTTACCAGGTTAAATGTGAAAAATTAAAATTAACAAATACACACACAATAAGTTACCAAAATAAAATTAGATAAAGTATTATGTTATTTGTACTGTCTTTAGTATGTTTAATAGAGCTGGCTGTATTTTTGGTATTATCTGATGAAGGGGGCGGTCGACAAGTGGACAAATGAGGTGGCGCCAGAGTTCTATGAGGTAGGCATAAAAAAATTAATCTGCCGTCTCACAACCTGCATTGAAAGAAATGGTGACTATGTAGAAAAATAGCACACAAATATATTAATGTTACCACGTTATTTTTTTTTTTAATAAATTTTTTTGAAGCCTATAAAAATTGAGTACACTTACTTTCTGGACACGCCTCGTATATCTTATTTAGGTTTGAGAGATCATAAATAAATTACATGAGTACTAAAATTTGTCTTTATGTGTACAGAATACTTTCGTAAGTATGTCAAACTATTGGGTTTTAACATGATGTGCAATTACTGTATTTTATAATTTTACCTAGAAAAAAACCTAAATATAGTAGACTAAATTATGAAAAATACTGGAGAGTGAATTCCTTATACTGTCAGCCAGCTCCATATTTAAGTATTTAACAATCAATAAGTTACTTAAAGTAATGATCTATGATTCAAATTATATTCACTTTAAGCTGCTTAGTCAAATACAAAACAATTCATGATCACTATGATGAAGGTTCATTTTCATTTGAATGGTTACTTTTTTTTACTTGTATCATTTCTAGTTGTTTTTTGAGATTCTGGCTTAATTGTGTTAAATTTTCCTGAATAAAAAAATTAATCAAAGATTATTCAACATTATCTATATAATCATACTATGGTAATCCTTAGCAGGAGTGTCAAGGAAAAAAATTCAGGCCATGTCCGGTTATAAGAAAAATTTGTTCAATTATACATATTTTTTTTAGGGAATTTATAATATATTTTTTTAAATATATACAGTCAATCAATTTATTATTTATTTTTAATTTTTATCATATAATATGGTAATTTAAAGTTCAAATTTTGACATGTGCAAATTGTTTGAGTTAGAAATTCATAAAAATGTTTCTTTTTAAATCCAAGATTTAAAAATTTAATCCAAATTTCTCATAAATTTGTCTACTTTGTAAACAAAATTTTCTACCTGAAAGTCAAAATACAGGTTTATGAGCATTGGAAGTTATCATATTATCATTCAATTCAAATTTAACACCATCCAAAGTAGATACACTAATGAAAAAAAGGGACATAATTAGATATTCTAGCATTCCAAAAACTAGAGAATAATATAAAGTGTCCCTCTCCATATATTCTGGCTACGACACTGATGCCCCATTAATGAAAAATGCTTTTTGGCCTATAACCCAATAAGTCCACCCCTGTATCGTACAGGTATCCACTCAAATGGGTATTTCAGTATTAAAACATTTTAAATATGTACTGCCACATTCGTATTCACTTTCTAGTAGGGGTAATACAGTATTTCTAGACTTCAAATTGTTCAAAATGTTTGTATGTTTAGTATAAACAACAAAATATTTAATTGTAAAATATTATATTATCATAGTAATATAGTAAGTACATTCTGTGGTCAGACTTTTATTTCTGTGGGTTATTTTACTGAGGAGTGTTTATTTTTTGTGTTTTTTCTTTAAGATTTTTTTCCTAGCTACCGATGAATTGACAGTTTTTTTTTCATTCTAGTTTCACCACTATTAAATCTTAATAATTAATAAGCACTACATTTATATAATGTAAAATAGCATTGCCAGTTTTTAGTTTTAACATTAACATTTTTTACAAAAAAAATGTTATCAATATTTACTTTTTCATTTTTGAGCTTTTTAAGTTCTTCGTCATCTTCATCTACTTCTTCATCACACAAAATTTCTTCCTGACTTAATCGCTCCGCCAATTGCTCCATATGTCTTGATAAATATGCTCTTTCAGTTTGCACTTTTAAATATTCTTGAGCAAGCTAAAAATATGTAAAAATGTTTTAGTTTATTTTTTCAATTGTTGTGGCTTGTTTATATTAAAAAATTTAAAAACTATAAATATAAAAATTATTTATCGGTGGAAAATATACTGGGTAAACTCAAAAACATATTATTAGAATTTATTGAAAATACTAGGTTGTTATTTATAATAACCTTAAATTAAAATTGGAATCTTTTATTAACAAATCACATTGATTTTATCAATTTTCACTTTGGTTTTTATTGTTAATTATAATTCCAAAAAAATAATTTTCATATCATCTATGAATTACTTATGGTTACTTATTTATTACAACAGTTATTAATTCCTATAACAATTATAAATCCATTTATACAGAAATAGAACTATAGTATAATTATCAAAACTAAAATTATATACCTCGATAATATAGTTAAAAAAAATATTTATTATTATTTATGTACCTGTTTGTGTTCTTCGAATATTTGAACTGATTGTGGACAAGTGTTATCTGGGGGTATTGGATGCAACTGTTGATCTAACATCAAGTACAAATTATCCAGTTCAGGATTTGTTCCAGAAACACCTGGATTATAATATTATATAGAATTGTTAAAAATATTAATATATCATTCAATCATTATATTATGTTTACAGTTTCCAAATCAATAATTATTTGGGTGTGTTTAATAAATTGTAATTCAAGTAATTCACTATCATATATTGATTTACAATAATATCTATTGATGAGGCAGGTCATTTAACAAATTAAGCCAAATAGATTGGCTGCCTACTTACTATAGTGATCATTTGTGACGCACTCGCTAAGCTCACACATAGTTGTTGTCCGTCAGAAATCGAGCAAGGAAATAAACATACAAATACACAACACTAGGAAAACACTACTCTCTCTACAGCCGTGTCGTGTCTAAATCTAGCCGAATGACTCACACCCTTTACAACGTGAGCCAGATCACTCCAGACATCTGGACCACAGATCTGACATCCCGTTAACCACAAATCATGAAAGTATTTTGTTGAATAAAAAAAGGTTCCGTACATAATATAATGCGTAACTATACTAAAAACGTAAATTAATATTTATTTTCAACTATAATGTAACAGTACAACAAATACATTATATATGTAATGGAATGCATCATCCAAGGACAATTACGCAATATTCTGATATTTTATTGAAATTGAAATTGGGATAAGTACCTAGGTATTTTTACTGTAATAGTGTAATACTGTATTATTATTTAGGTACCTATCAAAGTAAATTTTGTGTGTTTTTGTTGAACTAATTAATTCGAACTATTTCGAAGATGAGTCATTGTAACCGTTTTAAACTAATTTTGCCGATTTAGAAATTGCAACATATCAGTCATAATTATTCCGGACATTTTTTGTTCAAATAAATACATTAATACATGGGACGAGTCATGAGTGTGAACTATTCGTATAAGTATTGAGCAAAGACTTCATTGGCAGGGAATACAATACAAAAAACTATACCCACAAAATAATTTTGAGACACTTTCCTTTAAAAAATTAAAAGCAATAGTATTAAAATTACAATTATATCGCCAATAATGTATGAATTATGAATTACCCAACTATTTATACAACAATATTTATTGACAATAAGGTAATAACTAATAACTAATAAGGTTCAAGTCGACGTTCTACCTGTATATGGGTTTTGGAAATAATTGAACTCGTCTATAATTTATAAATAACTAATAATTAATAAGAAAAACCCTGTAGAAAATAACCACGGAAAAAATAACTCTACCTATATAGTAAAAATTACACCCTAACACATATTCACGACATTTCAAAATCGATGAATGACGAATGTATGAATGTATGAATGTATGATTTAAAACCAAACTATTTTTTTCAGTTACAATAAATTTGTATTAAAATGCCGAAAATACATTAAAAAAAAAATATTTATTTATTATTTATCATAACTATTTTTTTATAGTAGTATTCTAGTATACAACTACAAACCAATGCGTATTTTGGGGAGGGGAGTCATGGGGTACATTAAATGTGCTTGGAAAATTAACTGGACCCCCCCCCCACGAAAATGTCCTAAATACGCCACTGACTACAAATTACAAATGATTCTTTATATAATACAAATCTTATTATGAATGACTGTCTGACTAGTGAGTAGTGATGACTGATATTTCAGAGATTATACTCGCACGTATTTTCTCTCTCTGGCCCCAGTGGCGTCATTTCAGTTTTCAATAGAGGGCTGAGGGGGGCAAAGGTTTTGACCGGCCCGAATGGGTAAAAAAAACCGCTCGCTTCGCGAAGTAGACTACTACTTCAAGCGTGTGTTAGACAAAAACAGTAAATCACGGTATCGAATATTCGAATCCCCTTAACACAATACGCAGAATAGTTGAATCATATACGACTGTCCCAAGTTAAGAGGACGTGATACCCGCATGTGTTGTCTCCGTCTTACAAGTGCGTAACATAGCAAATTATACGCAAAGCAGAACACGTGTACCTCCATTAGCTTAAAAATTAGAGGAAATTGACCTCTTAAAAAATCTAGCTAAAGGTAAAATTATTATGTAAACAACCTCATGAGCTTTTTATTATATTTTAATTTTTTAAATTAGATACTAATTATTATTATTGTTGTGCACTTGTGCATACAAAATTATTAATATGTTTATTTTCCTTCACAAAACACACTTACACAAGCAAACATACATAAATACATACCCTTACATATAATGTGTAAATGCCCACCTTGCCACCCCCCCCCAAATGACGCCACTATCTGGCCCACGTGCAATATGGAAAATCTGAACCAATCTTGTGTTGTTAGGTTTAGTATTAGAGTGAATTGACCTATTATCAAACTTAAGTTAAGGACACCTGGTCATTATATGTGTTTGTAAGATGAATTTTTTAAAATAGTTTAATTTTTATTTCAGTTGTGAGTTTGTAAAATATTACAAATTAAAAATGCTCAAGTATTGCTTTATAACATTTAAATACCGTATAAAGCCAACGTATAAACACTATAAACACGCATTACGAGTCTGAGGGAGAAATAGTGTGCTGACATCCTAAAAAAATGTAAGTACGTAGAACGAGATAATCAATCAATAGTAGATAGCAATTATAAAAAACAAAATTAAAATGAAAATGTGAGTAAAATAAACTCTCACATTGTTTGCCGCTTAGTAATTTATTATTAATTGTAACAGCGCCAATATTTATTACGTTATGGTGTTAGGCAGCCATTTAGTAAACCGGGGTTTTAAACACCGTACACGTCTTTGTGTTCCGCCAGCTATTTACGTAAATTCTAAATTTATCTGGCCATGCTCTTTATTAAGAGACGCTTTTGTCAACTACCCTCTCATTCGTTTTCCTTACACAAAATTATAATTTTATTATTGTCCTAAAAAATTGTGTATAAAGGCTATAAATTATAATAATAGGTACACGAGATATTTTTAAAATTTAACAAGGGACCACAAAATATTTTACATACAGGTAAATTTAATATAAATTTAATATTCAAACGCAGGAGCCGAAAATCGATAGCTCTATATTAGAAATAACAATATATTTCAAAAATATATTTCAATATTCGTTTTAGAACGATACCTAATATATTTAAATAAACTGAGTTGTTTTACACATTTTTAGGTAAATGTTCAATAAAATTATTTAAAATACAAAGGTACTACAATAAGACAAAAATATAATAATTTATACCTGAAAATAATTAGAAAACACAAAAGAGAAGATATTCTCCAGCGGGCGTATATTTTGTTTTTAGTTAATACTAAATACTTAAAATTTATATTTTATAAGTAAATTATATTTGTACTTGTAATAACTGAATAAAAAAAATTATAAAATGTAGAAGATTTTTTTCGAACAAATTCATTATTTATAGACAAACTGTTAAGGTACAAAATCTTAAACAGAACATCGGACATCGGTATTGGAATGACAGGAATATTTGTTAAACATTGCATGCAACTATAAGGTCACGTCCTTCTGAGGCTATAAACACCGGAAACAAAATGTTTGCATTGACATACTGATACTGGCAAATGGCCACCTTACTCATAACACGAGACAAAACTGGAATACACAGACGGACATTGAGTAGTTTTTTTTTGGGGGGGGGGGGGCGATGTCTAAGTCAACCCAACCATTGGCCCTCGATGTTTGCCTAATGCACGAATATAAAAATAATGCTTTCAATAAAATTAAAATAATACATTTTCCGGACCAATTTATAATGCAAACTGTAAACCCATCTTAGATTAGGATGATTTCATTTAAATTATTTATTTGAATAATTATTAAAGATAATACTGTTGAATACCTACTTCTATATTTACATACACAGATAATATAATGTAGGTAAATACTGGTGCCTATATATTATTCAAGTTAGGTCTGAGGTAATGTAAATATCCTTTAGATAATCAGATAGGTTAATGGTTATACATTTTGCATTAAACATTGTACTGGAAAAGATGTTCTGTTTAAAATCTGATTAAACGCATTATTATGGCATCAAAAATCTTAACAATAAAATGTTACCTATTATATAAAATTGAATAAACAATTTTTAATACCTATTATTAACATATTGTTTGATGCCAAAATTACTTAGAATATAAACGGTTTTATCAAATTTTGGGATATTGAATTAAAAATTCTAGACAAAAATATTTACTAACAAAATTGTTTTACCACTTCAACTAATGAAAATTATGTGCTTGTAATGGTTGTGCTGTTGTACATTAATAGTTAATACCTAATAATAAACACCAAATAATAGTTGATTACTAAAACATTGTAATATACACATAAGTAAATTATACAACAGATAATCCAAAAGTTTTTTTTTTTGGCCAAGCCATGGGTCATTCACCATAATATGACTCATGCTGATGTGATTTATTATTAAAATAGTAACTGGCATTCACGTGTCATCAGAAAAAATGATCTCTTTGATGGATCATTTAACTTGGCGGTCATTCGCCTTAAAGAACTTTTAAAAATAAATCAGAGTATTCAAAAGGGAGAACACAGAGGGGCATATATTAGGGGGGGTATTTTTTAGGTTAAGTCTTACCAAGACAAAATTTAATATCAGAAACATAAATTGTTTTTTTAAACTCCCATTGAAAATAATAGTGTCCCTAGATAACTTTTGATCGTTTTGCTTTTTATTACCTACTTTTAATGATATTGTGATGATGACATAATATTATAAAATATTTAAAACCTATTTAAAATTTATTTTATAATACTGTTTGCATGAAATATATAAAGATTTATTGTTCAGCAAAATATGATTAATAGATAAATGTTTTTTAAATTATCTCTATATTCTCAATAACTTAGGAATAATTTACAGTAAATTATAATAATTGAACATCAAATTATCAACTACAAACTATACAAAATATGAAATCATAGGTATATTTTGATCAAACCTAAAAATGATTGTGATTTGAGCGAAATTAAGCGAGATATAGTTTGCATCTATTTTTGCTATTTATTTAATTGGGCCAG